CGCAACTTGATTTAGAATCTTTTTGTATGCAGAAGGTCTGTCGGAGCAGAATATTATCTCAAGACTGGTCGTCTAAAGGTGCGTTCTGTGTTCTTCAAATATATCCTGTCGACTTTGACAAACATTGGTCATCGCCAATAGTCTTAGCACCCTTTGATTTGTAGCAAGCGGGTTGGCATCGCAGCAACTTGCTGATTGCGAGGTAAACAGCAAACCTTGAGCCTGCTCTTTGGTAGTAGGACTAGTTTAAGACGGAAATAGATATTCAAACACTAGGCAGAAAGCCACATGAATGTTAGAAGAAAAAACGTATTCTGCCCTGAAATCTCAGGGATCAGAAGAAAAAAAACATCGATTATTTTAGACACGCTTATCTTTCTTATGCCTGTCACTGTCTGCCTCATACAAAGAAAAAGTTGAAAGAGTGATACTTCGAACCAGGGCGTTGTATTTTTACATTTTTGTACATGAGCCTACTGTCATTTTGTATATTTTTGTACAGTTATTCCAAGGGTAACGCAGTTTGATACTTTTGCTTTGATTTAGTGGTTTGTAAAGGATAAAAAATTTCGGCAGCAGCTTCATTTTCTTTCCCTGACAACAATGGAATTCGTTAAACCCAGCGAATCCTTCAGTTGGTTTAAACTGACCCGCCGCGTGTCAGTTATACGAGACAAATGATGTTGTTTGTGGACAAATTGTTTTCAGTGAGCCATGTAGAACTTTTAGACATCTTTTTAATTCTTTATCCTTTTCTGTTAGCATTTTGAAGAAAAATTGGTCTTTATAATTTAATTTAAACTCCCTAAAGGTTGAGAGGATTAAATGTTCTTTTCGTGCGATACGCGCTATGTTAAATTAACTGCCGCGGACCATGCAGTCAGGCAGTCGGCCTAGTACTCGTTTGCTTAATTTTATGAGAAAATATCTACGATATATATTGATCATTGCTAAAAATGTGTGACCAGTTCATTCCTCGAATTCTCCTTGAAAATATGTGTTAAAACACCGCCTGATTTGTTTGTTTAAGACAAACGAAAAAGACAAACAGATAAATACTATAAACGCTTAAAAGACTGTCATTGATGGCTGTATGGAGCGAGAGCTTTAACGACAAGTTAAGCGTCTTCAAAAAACACACATAGCGACTAATAGCAGTAATAATCTAGAGTTTTCCTGCCTGCTTTTGATTAAAGGAGCTTGAGCAACAACGAAGGTGACGGCTACCAAAACTCCAGTTAAAAAGTGTGTTCCCACGGCTTTAAACTTTATCGCGGTTATTCCATCTCGTTAATTCTCTTGAATGTTGGCGAATTTTTCTGGAGTTGAATTCTAAAGGACTTTATCAAAGTTCAGGAAAAGAAAAAGAGGGTCGTTGTCTTGTGTTTACGTCCTCCACAAACGTGACATTAGGCAGTTTTACCAGAGTTCACGTCGTCACTACGGCAAAGAAATGTAGCAAAAAACGTGATGCACGTGTAATGTTGTTATTTTGTATTTTAAACCTATCGCTTTTTTGCCTTTCTCGTTGCCGTCACCGTCGTCGTTGCTTACTGGGCTCCCTACAGAGAAACTTACCACGCAGGTGATTCTAATGTCCTTCATGCAGCATGGAGGTAAAAGAACCTCTAAGAACGATCGAAATGTGATATGTCTTGTTACCTTAATTTCAGATGGCCATGAAAGGAAACTTGATTGTCTTTCTTTTAGTCAACATGTTATGGTTCGCTGTTCATACTATTTCAGGTACGTAGACTTAAGTAGATTAACGTAGCTTTCCAAAATGTAAAAAAATAACCGAAAAATCTAAACCAGCAATAAATTAGGAACGTTTACAACATTTAGGGATTTCTAGTCTGACAAAACAATAAAGCTGAAAACCGGTTTTTACAATAAAGGACTTGTCAGAAATTACCAGGGAGGGGGAGGGGGGTTGGGAATTTTAAATTTGGGTTGGGAAATGAGGTGACCCATCCCTGCAATGGGAGTAAAATTTTCTATCCCTCCTCTCGACCTTCGCCTAAAATATCATGACCTTCCCCTCTTGTATAAATGATAAAATTTGGTTCTTGCAATACATTAGGGTGAGTCAGTATTGTGAAAGTTCAAAGTATATTTCTAATCTGTTCTTTGTAATGCCATATACAAACATTTTAGATGACAGCATTAAGTGTCCGACTTTGATTCTGACAGCTGATCATTCGACTCTCCTATTTCTCCCAGTTTTTTTTACAAAATAAAGAACTTCTTTTTTCTTCTGTGGGTAAACCTCTACATGATCACGGACACATATTTACATGACCCTCCCCCTTTAACGGCCCATTTTTCATGACCCCTCCCTTTTCTGCAGTCTCAAAAAGTTGTGACCCTCCCTCTGTTTCCACCCCGTCACCCCCTGCTAATTTCTGACAAGTCCCTAACAGAGCGATTTTTTGCTCGCCGATTGGTCGAGAGCTGTGATGGATCAGAGCACGTACGCAGCGCATGGAAATGACGTGACGGTGGCGCAATTTGTTTTTCTCCTCGGTACACACACGATTTTCCAAGAAACTTTAATGGAAATGGATGTCAATGGTCTTGAATGAAACAAATCGACAACCATTTTCCATGGTCTTTACTCTTATGAATCTTACAAGTGACGTTGAAATGTTCAAAACTTTGCAGTGTTCCACTTGAGTTTTGAACCATTTGACGTCATTTCTGTGGTCGACGAAAGTACAGACGAAGGAAAATTGTTGTCGATTTGTTAAGTATAGACTTGCACAAGTTTTGCGCAAAAGTCAGACGGTAAATTTGTAAAATGATAACCCCTCTGGAAACGTCTTCACGGTAGCTTATTTCCTTTGTCGCAACTTAACTGATGTCAAACTAACTGTCAATCGTAGTGCAGTCGTCTTTGGGGCATAATTTGTTATCGGCTCGATTAAATCAAAACGCAAGGGGAAAATGTAAATGTAGATGTGAACAATCAAAACTGCTATCATTGAAAAGTATATGAGTGAATATTTATACCGTAGCAGCAAAGTTCATCTTACTGAACCAAAAATGGTAGGATAGTTGGGCTTATCTTGGTTCGAAGTGCAATTTTTGGTGATCATAAAAGTCAGAACACACTAGGCGACAATTTCCAACAAGTCGCGGCGACAGATCACTCCTTGTGTGGGTGGGGCGACTAGTTGCAGCAACACGTTGCAGCGACACATCGCTTTGCTTCGTGAATCGCCTCGTGTGTACTGGATAATTTTTTGTGAAAATCTTTGTCTCTGCAACAGAATCCCCGCAACAAGTCCCACAAATTCTGTCTGATTTGATTTTTCGCGATATGTTGCTGCAACAAAGATTTTCACACCATTCTCCAGTACACGGCATGTTGCTGCAACTTGTCGCCTGGTGTGTACCGATCTTTACAAAGTAATTGAAGAAAAAGGGTTAAAGCACTTAATCGACACTCAATTATTTATTCTTGCGAAAGAAGCAAATGATAATTTTGTATTTACTTCAGAAAACATCGACTCGGCAGCTACTAAAGATGACAACATTCCTCTGGACAGGTGTGTTAGACCATAATAATGTAAAGGACAGAGCTGGCAAGAAATCTTTTGACTTCATACGAAAACATTTATGTAACGCCTTCATACCCCTGTCCCGTCAAACAAATCTCCATTGTCCGACACGAGAAAAAAAAGTTTGAAGCTTCCCCGTACTGCAAACGTTCCTTTCACGACTGATTTTTACAGACTGTTAAAGTACAGCCCACGGAATACAATTTTAATCCTTTTCTTTAAAATCGTTTTCGAAAGTAAGACCCTTGGGTGTAAATAAGTATTTCAAATAAAAAAAAAATCATACCTATCGTTTTGACGGTACTCTTTAACCTGCAAATAACCTGCATCGCAAATGGCGTCGATATCTCAGGTTAACAACATTATGACATGATTTCAGTGGTTGCATCACCCCTTAAATGTAGTTGTTCATTGCTGTACCTTGCTTTCAGGTTCAAGCGTTCAATACCCATAATCTACGATATCTACACACTTGACCACTTTATCGAGCTCGTTGAAAAGATTGAGCGCCACACGAGTACCAGTAGCGATACTTTGAAGCAGATCGTAAACTACGTCCGTCAGCTTGGCTACAACAATGATTTGTTCAACATCCTATGTGGGCGAGCAAACCCTCTCCCCGATGGTGTGCTAAATTCAGAAGAGAAACGCGTCCTGACTAAAATGGTCACCTATAACTTCGATAAAAGCTCTAATAGTGAGGGGGGCGTGGTATTGACACCTGACGGGGAAACCGTAGCGATGGGTCACGTGGTCACAGGCATTTGTGCTGGTTTGGTTCGAGATCAGAGCATGTCCCTTAACAAGTGGACCGCTGGAGCTCCGTTACTTGTCGACAACCTGTACGCTGCAACCATTGCTTACGATCTTGCTGTAAGCGCATTAGTCAGTTCGAATTCTGATTCTTCCAATCTGCTTGGGCCGTCTGGAGTCTGGTCTCCTAACATGAAATGTCCAGAGGACTACCAGTTAAACCAAGGCCGGATTTCTAAGGCAACTGACGCACAAATATTAGGTGATATTGATGGTTTTCTCTTGGGATATGGTATACCTGCTTGGAAGAGCAAAGGCGTTCGTCTGGGTCAGTTATTAAGGATGTATTATGGGTCAGGTACGTTTTAAATGCTAATTGGCAATACTGTTTTGATTCTAGTGTTGAATAAATGTGATTACTATTCATATCATTGTTATTACTAGTATTTTTTTAATACCGGGAAATACGACCATGTGCTTCCACTTTGAAGATTAAACTGGTTTTGTCGGTTTCTAGCCATATGACGGTCATTAACCTTCTGTTGACATTGCAAATAATTTAACGTGCTTTTACCAAAACGTAATTACAGAAGAGTTAGAAAACATGCTTCGGCAGTTGTAATCCTAAATCAAATTTAAGACGTAATTTTTAGATTGCGAGGGCTTTGAAAATTTCTGACTTTAAATTTAGCTGCTCGAGCCATGAATCAACTATTTAACTGTTGCAACGTGGAAAGCAGTGGTAAAAAAAAAAAGGAAAAAGAAACATAATTATTGGTAGGGCTTCCACGAATGGCTTTCTACGGTCTTCTACGTATTAATTAAGCTAATAATTAAAGATCTGCAATTTGCCTTTTTATATTACAACATAGGAATTCTGTATGATACGTCATACGCCAAATGCCGAAGAAAAGCTAAATTTAAAGAATTAGTTGACATTGAAGACCAGGTACTTCTTGGGCAGATTGAAGGATTCGCGAACGCGTACTACAAGAAATATACCTCGGAACTCACAAACATCAAGGAAAACAACATTTCGAACATTGCCAGGAATGTAAATGACAAGTTTTACTTGTATTTTGGTAAGAAATTTTATCCTAGCCTGCGAATACAGCCGTCTCTCCTTGCTCCTCACCGCAAGAGACGTTTTGGGCGAAACGTCGCATAGGGTGAGGAGAGACGGCTGTATTCTTAGGCGATAATTTTTCATTTATTTGTTGGTTTTTAATCTGCTAAATTGGTCTGACTCAACACTAACTTTTTTCTATGTGACCTAGTAGACTAATAGCTCTCCCTTCTTTTTTACTTGCCAAGATCCTTACGAAAGGGAGAACGACCGAGGAGTCCTCTAGTCGCTTACGCTTGTCTTTGGAAATTGAAGCTAAAATTAGACGCTCAAGATTGGTGTATTTTTTGGAGCGGGGAGCAGTCAATAATTTTCTCCTTTTTATAAAAATCTATCTAGAAGATTCCTTTCCATCCATTTGTGTTTGCCGTATTTATACATTGTTCACAGAACATGTTGAGAAGATGAAATAATTACTATAATGTTTAGCCAATTTTCTTCGGCGATAAATTTTCGACGAAGTATTTCCAAATTTTAGGCGTAAAAACTGTGGCTTTTCCGCGATCATTACGTTGTTTTGTTATTTTAAATGCTATCAGGGTCATTATACTGCTTGACTCTTTCCATTTTATTTATTTATTTTTTCAGATAGACAAATAGGGAATACAAATTGTACTGACGAAGATCAGGATGGTAAGAGAGAAAAAAAGAAAACACGTTTTTCGAAATTTGCTATGTGCGCATTGCGTCAAATACACCATGTTTGAACCCAGAAATTTCCATAAGCATTGTTTTTTATTTTTCTTGGGAAGAATGTCATACTTAAAAGAAATTGAAAACAATTGTTATGCAAAATCTTGGGGGTGCAAACAAGACCTATTATGGGCAATACCAAATTGGCGAATTGGTTGACATTGATTTTCGTGGGTGCTTTTTCTTCCTCGGTGGTTTAAAGTTTCAGTTGCTTTTAAACCACTGAGGAAAAGGCAGCACCCTTGAAACGTCTGGTAATTTTTCCTTGCTTTTCAACGCATATTTTGGTAAACGTTGCCATTCATTACATTTCGTAAACAATTTGGATGTGATACTCCGGCTTAATAGGGCAGCCGGTGAGATTGACTGGTGTTTCGACAACCCGTACAACTGTGATCGTTGTCTAAGTGAACATTTTATTGTCAGTTGTCGGTAAATGTCGACCTAATTTGTTTGTTAAAGCACTGTGCAGTTATGCTTCAAGCGTGTGGTAGTTCAGGTTTAATGCTATTACTGTTAAGTCCTTAATTATGCTGACTGGGCTAAAGTCAGTGTTTGTGGTATACAAAGTTTGTACAACCCTTACATGACCCGTGAATTTGAACCATTCCCTACGTTAATGTTGCACGTATTGCATTGTAACGTTAGATGTTATTGGTTTAAGATTGCGAAATTCCAGCGAACATAGTATTTCTTATGGATGAGTCGGGAAGCATTAAAGTTGGCAACTACCAGAAGGAAAAGAAGTTTGTGAGGTTGGTAAAAAAGTACCCACATTATGTGATTCTGTGATTATGATCTTTGACGTCCCAAGTGACTCAATTCGTTTATCTGTGAAGCTTCTTTATAATCGCCTTCTCCAGTTTTAAGCTAGAATATTGTACAATTCCTATTTCTTTCTTCGATTCCAGCGGGTTGTAATATTTCCTCAAAGCTCCCCTTGCGGAAACTGCTTGGGTTAGGCTTTCTAAGAGTTTGGTCACATTCATGTTTATGTTTACGTGGTCAAAAAATCGGTCACACACGACAGCCATTTGCCCATGGGTAAAACGGTTGGTGTAACCGCACCTAATGTCATATAAATGTTAGTTTAGTTAATTTTTCTCAGTGGTCAGCTGAGGTATGCGCTCTGTCTCAGATTTGTTTTGTTCGGAATTTACTAGTATAATGTATCTTGTCCTTTGTCTGAAGGGCATCATTATCGGAGGAAAAAAGACACGATTAAACGGAACTAAAAATTTTCTTAATCTAGAAAAAAGTTTGGACATAACATATACATTGATCAGCCACCTTTAAGTTGTAAAATATTTGTCTTGTGTTTTGTTTTGTTTGTTTGTGTGTTTCAATTTCGTTTTAGTTCCAGATTGCAACCTCGACACAATAAAAGTCATCATTACCTTGTCGCTTAGCTCATTACCTATAGAATTATACACCTTGAAAAGTGGCTTAAAGGGGAACTCCGGGAGAAAAATGACCTTTTTCTTAATGATTTGCCTACATTTGTTGTTTCAATTTTTGACTACTAAGTTAAGTGATTGTTCGTTAGAACGAAGATATTTCACCCTAAAGCGGAGTCAAAAATGCAAATAGCATTCCGCCATCTTGAAAATTGTTTGCCTGCTCAGAAATGGGTCAGCGTTTTCATTTATGACGTCAGAACGTCAAGCGTAATCCGATATTTACTCGGCTTCCAGTTGTGTACAACATTTTGCATCGTCTGCTTTGGGAGTTTTTCTTACCTTTATCACTCTTATAATGTCGAATTCTGGGTCAGAATCCGAGTTCTCCGACGAAGAACAAGGAGCTCAAACGTTTTCTATCCAGCCGTATCAGTTTGAACCGCGGTAAACACTGATGTGAGGGATATCAACGCTGAAAGTCTTTCAGGCGACGAGTCCATGGAAGGCAGCGAAGAATTGAATCCAAGACTGGAAAATTCCGACTGGTATGTGCTGTGCTGTTTGCTTCACTGTAATTCTTTTACCGATGTGCGAAATAAACTGTTGTTTGGCCCAGATGTCGTGTTCGTAATTGTTTCTTTTTTGTTTTTTTTCGTTTTGAGAGTCTTGAGTACGTAAACATTTCATTATCGAGCGGCCGACAAATTGCTTAGTGTTCCTAGTTTTCAATATGTCTTGCAAATTAGGTGCTGTGAACGTGAAAGCTGTTAAAAACCTAGCATAAATTCCCTCCTTCCCCCGCAGCTGGACTTTTCAAGTAGAAGGGAAGGATTTTGAACAATTTTCTTGGCGCTTCGCTGTCTTTTATATATGTTAACACTGAGCAGGGGTGCAAACAAAAAGAATTGTATTTTTGTAAATGTCGATCTTCACTGCATATAGGTTCTTTAAGTCAACAGGCGGCCGTTGGTCCCGCCTAACCTATTTCAGGAGAGAATTTTATTTACATGTTTAACTATCTAAATTTGCCAGTGTCCTCACTTTCTTTACTAGCTTGTATAAACAGTTTTCTTCAACTCAAACAAAATTAATCTGCTTCAACATATTTTATCTACATATCACAAAAAAAAGTTAGTAACATCTAAATCTTATGAAACCTTACATTGTTTTCTTAAATCAGCTCTCAATTGCTGGTGTTTATCCAGCTTCTTAACCTGTACCTCATGTTATATGTAGAACAATTCAGTTTTTGTTTCCCATCTATGATTTAGGTGCTCATGTGATAATTGCCAGATTATGGGGAGAGCGGAGGCATGCATATGCTGCCAAGAAATAGAGCAGGTTAAAAATAAGCTTAATGAAGCAGTTACTCGTGGTGAATGTGAGGAAGAGCCAACATGCATCACGCAGCATCCAGGGTTCCATCCAGTGTGTATAAATAGATGGGTCCTGCAGACTGCACGGTATCAATATAAGCAACAATACAAAGAATCTATTGATGGTCCTGAAGGCAAACTCTACAGGCACATAGCATACAGACAATTGGCCCGATGGTACTGGGGAATCCTGGGCAAGGAAATTAGGGTTGTGCTTCCTTCATGTGCTGTAATGTGTATTAGGAACTTCTATCCTCCACCTGGGCCTGAGGAGGAGTTTGTCTTTACAGGGTTTAAATATGCAGACGAGTGACATGACTTAAAACTGACATCAGGCTGCCAGTGTAAATGAGAAACTGTAAGCCACTTATGATGCATAATATACAGCTATAAAGAGGATATTACAAATAATTTGCTTACATTTTGTGAGCTGAATTTTTAAGCCTTTAGGTTTTGTATTCTCATTTTACACTATGATATGTTGAAAAGTCCTATACACATGCATCCATGTACATATGTGTACAAAGGTTATGAAAATGCAAATCTCCTTGAGAACATAAAAAACATGGTGTGAATTAGGAAAACAAAACATGCTAGCTAAAAAGGTCTATTCCTCATTATTTGCAGTCAAAAAACCTCAAGTGGTAAACTGTTCTTGTCATGTGGGTTTCAGTTTTTTACACATAATTGGAATAAAAAGACATGGTGGTATTTGAGTTTCTTATTGTCAAGTTTGGAAAAAATTTCAGTGTTACTCTGATTGACTGTTACAAATAGGAAACCTCCAGGAAATGTGTCAAAGGCTCACTATTGTTAAGTCATCTATTAAATCTTGAACGATGTTGGCGTATTGCATCTGATTTACTAGGTGCTGGTTCTGAGGCAATGTTACTTGGTAGGTGTGGATGAAGTGGCTGTGCGGCTGCATTCCCCTGCTCAACACGACTGAGCACCTCTGAAAGTAGGTCTGACAAGAACTGATATGACTTCTTCTCATTAATTGGTTTGACAACCCATCTTTTATTTGCTTTTGGGAAGCAAAGCTTGTATCGTGCCTCACCTGCCCGTTCACCTGACTTTCTCACACCTTGATTATGGCCAGTGTTAGCATTGTTGTCTAGAGCCGCTAGCTGGGTCCTAGCTACCATGCCCTGGTAAGAATAATGCTCGCGTTTGGAGGCATACTTCAGCATCATTGAATGGTACACCTCAATTTTACCAGTGTGACAGAAGTCAGTTAGTTTAGCCAGATCTTTAAGAAGCTTTTTATTCAGTACCACTTCCTCTAAAGCTATGTGAGCTTGTGAGCCTGGCTTAAGCCAACAAATTTGCTTAGCTTCAGAGGAAGAGATACGTCGGTGGCAACACTGATGGAAGAGCGTGTTGCCTGACCACTTGTGCTTGTTTGCTACATGATCTAAAACAGACTTCCACTTTTCACGTAGAAGCTGCACATTCCCACCGCAGGTTGCCACGCACCACCAAAGGTGATTGGGAATGGATTGTATCCATGGGGCCAGTTCCTCACAACCCTTTTGTTTGGCTTTGTTTGTAAGTTTTTTGACCACCCGCTTGGAGAGATGCCAAACATCATACTGGAGGTTGATTTGTTGGAAGTCCTTCTTCATGCTGCTGCTGATGGAAACATGGCGGTCTGTAGCAATCCTATTAATCATGATCCCCTTTTCCTCCAAGTCTTGGAGACAGCGAGAAAAGCCCTCTTTCTCCATGGCATTTGATGAGCTGACTTCTGAGACCTGGACAACATTGAATGCAACCACATCTCCAGAGTCCTCATCCATTAAAGTGTAGGTGCCATATTTGGCACTGTGGCCAGGGCTGTCACACCTGCCATCACCATCGAGATTTACAACTTCCTTGGAAGTCAGTCTGTCTACCTGCCGTTGACTCTCTGCTTCCCATGCCTCATTCACCACAGGGAACAGGTATTTACGCTCGGTGTCATAAAAGACACTTTCGCTGAAAAATTGCAGGTTAAAACATGATGCCAGACGACTTATGGCAGCAAAGTTATTACCTGTAAAAAGAATGGATGCTGCCAGTAATAAATTTTTTAGAGGTTTCCTTTTTACCACAGGTTGTGACTCCCATGTCATTTTACACCCACTCTGGCACTCGAGCTCTACAGATAACATGCTCCCAACAGTTTTTCTCTTCTGTTCAATGACAACATCACCGCATGCCTGGTATCTTTTAAATAAATTATTTAGATTTGAATTAAAGACTACAAATTTTTTTTCATTGCCGGGATTTTCAGGGTACTCAATTTCTGATTCTTCTTCATCATCATCATCATCGTCATCTTCATCAGCATCGCCATAGTGTTTTCCTTTAGGGGGAATTTCCAGTGGGGATCTAGGTCCTCATCATCAACTTCATCATCTGTGTCACTGACATGACCATCAACGTTGTCATCATCATTTTCCAGCCTTGGGTCTTCTTTGTGCAATCGAGTGAAAGGGGTGGTGCTAAAAAAGTTATCATCATAAGGAGGAAACACTGAACTGGGACATGCTGGCAAAGAATAAGTGTGATCGTTCAAAACCTTCCATTGTACAGCATCTACATATGGTGGGACATACATGTAGGGCTCGTTTTGTATAGGGGTGGGGGTAACATTAGCTTTTCCCTTTTTTTGTTTGGAATCCTCAGTTTGAACTGCTACACTTCTTAAGGTAACAGGCTGACAGCAACACTGAATGCCAATGTCATGCACTCTTGGTTCTGAGGAGCCTGTTTCTTCATTATTATCAAACTGGTGTTGATCTGAAGAGTCTTCCAAGACATCCTCTGAAGAAGAGCTTGACTCATCGTCACAGTCTGGGAAGTCAGCAGCTAAAAGTTCTGCCACAGCCTGATGGGATAAAGGTCAATACTTAACAGTATTTTCTACAAATATTTTTGGAATGTTCAATTGTCTGTTTTTATCGTCATGTCGAAATAATGAAAGTGAAATTACAGACTCGACATACAAAACTGAGGGCGAGGGTGAATTGAAGGACCTAACTTGAGGTAAGCACTAGGGAAAATGAGAGAAAAAAACAGTTCTTATTAACATCTGTAACAGGCGGCGATTTTTAGTACACGTTGTATCTGCTACGTGGCACAGTCGACTGGATAAAAGTCTCTTGATGTGAGGTGACATTAAATTTCCCATAAGGTCATACAAGTTTTGAATTTTTTTACAAGCTTAGCTTTAGCAGCTTGATAGGATTGGAGTCCTAAAATTTAAACCTATTTCACTCTGGTTTAGGTGTACAAACTCTCTTTTTACTTGCAAATGCCGTTGAATTAATTCTGCCTTATAGTGTTTTATACCGAACTTGTCAGTTTCTCACTGAGTTCTGGATATGCTAGAGGAAAAACAGGAGCGTGAACTCTCAGAGGTCATCTAATTCGAACTGGACTGCAATCTCGTAGCGTCCGCCAAGCAGGCAAATCGAACAAGACAAGATTTTTGCAAAATAAAACAGGATGATAAAAATTTGCATGAGTGACAGTACTAACCTGTTTATGGTTTTGTTTCTGAAGGCGACTTTCAGATGACAATCGCGCTTTTTTGGGTTCCGGACCATATTTAAACAGAGACGGTATAGCGTCATCCCTTAAATGTTTTCGAACCTTTTCGCCCATTAGTTGTGGACGGAAATCGATCTCAAAACAGCTGGGCAAGAAGTGTTCGCTGCAAACATAGCTGTTTTCCAGGGGTGGCATATCTACACGCCTTACTCGGTCGAGCCATGCCTTCGTTCTATGGTCTTGCGGGAACTTGTGGTAACTTACGGCTTCTCCCGTCTTTTCTGAGTAATTGTGGCTGTCAGGCACAACGCAGCTGACCATTTTCTCCTTTGCTTAATACAAACGGTCAAAAAGGTTGAACTGGAAGCCACGGACACAATGCAAAGGGACGAAATAGAAAGACGTTCCGCCCTCTTTGTTCTAATTTACGAATCTCCCGCGAACCCTTCACCAACCAACCGCGAACCATTGACGTTCTTACGTCACAACGCACTGCTGACCATTGTAACGCGGCTCGTATTCTTCCCAAGATGGCGGAATACTAGGACGGCTTTTCGGCCAGCTTTAGCGGTAGGAGTACGGTAAGAAAGTTTATTAAAAACTGAAAGTTTAGATATAGGACTACTATTGTAAATAAGTTCGTTTTTATCCCGGAGTTCCCCTTTAAAGTCAATAATCACAGCAGTGCACATCAACTCTTTCGTTAACGCCTTTAACTTTTGTTACCCAGGAATATCATTGACGCGTTTGATATTTCTCCAGTCCAATCTCGCGTGGCAATTATCGAGTACTCTACCAGTCCTACACTTGCCGTGGCGCTCGATAATTATGGCTCAAAAACCAGGTTAATGTGTGCAGTGGATAGACTCCAATATAATGGTAAGTATCAACTTTCCACGGTTCAAGTGATCGTTTACCATTTACAAAAACTTTCTGGAAAATCCGGTTGGAAAGTTCCAGCGGAAAATTTCCAGGAACAAAGGGAAATCTGAAAAGGTACGGTAGTCCGTTTTTTCCTAGCCTGTGAATGCAGCCTTTTCTCCTTGCTACTCGCCGCTAAGGACGTTTCGCCAAGAGGAACGTCTGCGACTCAGCGACAGAAATTCCATACTGATGACGTAAAATCTGTCCGGAACCTGGTCAGGATCCCCGATTGGTAGACGTGGTAGCTATATTGTTTTACCTTATGTCTAAGATAGAACGACAGACAAAAGACGTAAGACCACAAAGGTCAAATGTAAGCGTGATGAATCAACTACAAAACAGCCAATATTCCCAGAATATTTTGTTCTTTGGAAAAACCATCTGAGTTTTTCTAGAGCTCGTTCGCAAAAGATCACAAAACTTTACCATAATCGACCAAGAGAAGCATAAAATCAAACAAATTTACATTTGAAACCCCATGCGACAGGATTTTTTGTGTAAACACTGATTTATGTCATCAGTATGGAATTTCTGTCGCTACGTCGTTGACGTTCCTCGTGGCGAAACGTCCCTGGCGGCGAGGAGCTATGAGAAAAAACGGACTACCGTACCTTTTCAGCTTTTCCTTTGTTCCTGGAAATTTGTGTTCTGTTTCATCAAAGCCATCTTTGATAACAGTTTCAGGCATTCGCAGTCGTTTTTTTAGTAAACGGAACTGATTTGCGGGACGAAATTCACCAGTCGTCAATTTTGTTTACCATTTGCCCAAACCGAATCGATTTATTAAGCTTGTGCATGGATCTTCTGTTCCCCGTTTTTTATACCAAAGATAGCACTACCCCTTCTCCCTTGAGTACTATTTTTGCAGTTGTAGGATATATGTGTACAGTTATAGGATTAATATAGTTGCTGGATTGGTTTTTCTTTCCATTTTTTTGTTTATTCAGTGTTTCGTTTAGAATAATAAGAAAACCTCCCTACAGTTTCCAGCGTTTTGAAAGATAATTTGAAACACTTTTTCCTTTATGCAAGCTGTTTCGTTGAATAATAAGCCTGGCATTGATTGGAAGCAGGTATTGTGCACTCTATCGAACGTATTATAGAACGTATCATGATTGATTCTCCTCAACAAAGTGTAGTTAACAACTCATTTTTGAGGTATAGGATTTCACGAGTAGGCCTTTACGGTCAAAGATACAAGGTAATGGGTGTTAAAGATTGTCTCAAGGCTTGTTACAGTGAACTTTCTTTTTATCCTAGGGGGTAAAACGTACACTGGAAAGGCTCTAGAAGTTGCTCATCACAATGTGCTGAGACCTGCCATTGATAATCCAGTCAGCGAAAAGGAAACGGTTCAGGTAATCAACGGGAGCAATCTGGCCGTAGCCTAGCTACTATTCTGCAATAGAAATAACGTTTCCCCAGCAAAAGAGCTACGCCACTGCCATTTTGACTTGCCAACTTTTTGACAAATCGTTTTCCAAGTTGTACATGTTATTTTGGAATGCAGATGATTTTCTTGAAAGGTGCTAATTTTCAACACAAACGCAAACTTCAGCACACTGGCAAATAAAATGCACGCTCACAAAAAAGTAGTTTTCGGCAGTATGAACCCTGCAACACCCAAAAGTGATTGTCATCTAACTTCTCAACATCGATTCGTCAATCGGCAGACACGTGACGAGACAAGGCAAATGCATCAGCTAGAGGATTTCATCTTCATATTCCCCAAATTCCCTTAACTAGTGTCCGAGGTAATGTAAAGACGCTGGAAAGGAGAATTTTTTATCAGATCTCGTGATTTAAGGGTTAAGTTGTAGAGTACACTTTTACCTTTCATTTACACAATTGATCACGGTAGCGGATCCACGGTATTGTCTTTTTTCAAAGAATTTACTTGAAGTTTCCGTGACCACACTCAACAGCAAAAGGAACTTAGGCCTGTTTCAAGCGTCGTGCTACTGCCGTACCGAACTCAATTGATCGAATTTAGCACGGCAGTGGCGCGACGTTTGAAACCAAGTCGTGGCAAGCCTTTCCGTACTACACGGCAGTAGCTCGACTTGGTTTTAAACGCCGTGCTACCGCCGTGCCGAACTCAATTCATAAATTGTAAATACTTTAGAATACCTTTAAAACTTTGCTTAACCGTTTCCTTATTTTTGTGTTTTGTTTTCGGCAACAGCCGTTCTATTCGACTGAATTAATTCCACGTCTGAAACCATGTCGTCCCAGTGTCGTTCTGCAGTCGAGCTTCAGTCGAGCCAGCTTAGCACTGAAGTAGCACGTTTGAAACAGGCCTTAGACAGCGCAGATTCTCTTCTTATTATTAATCATCAGCGTGTTTTTTTGCTTTCAACGATTTTTGTCTTGCTGTTGCTACTTCTACTTTTAGATCGTCATTTTACTCACCGATGGAAAATCAAACGACCGTGACGAAACGGCTTTGGATCGTGCCGTAAAAAATTTGAAAAATAATATACCAGGTAACTTTTCAACATTGCTTTCATGTTTGCTTCTTTCCTGCCGTGTCCTATCACTTAAAGAGTATTATCTGATGCTGGTTAGATCTGGCCTCATTCATGAGGTTCTGGCTTGGGCTCGCCATTCCGGAGTCACGTAATTCTCCCGTGCGTGACTCTGGCCTGAGCGGCGGCGAAGGAGACTACCCTGTTCGCAGTCTTCAGAGAAGGGCAATTAAGTTTTTTTTTTTGGCCCAAATTGTATGGAAGGGACCTAACTCTTTCACCACAAAAGGGTTAGTTTAGCCTTCCAGCTGCTTGCTTCCACCACAGTTAATACGGGAGACTGGTCATGAAAGCCGGCAAACATCAAGGTTGAAAACAACGGTTCTGTAGTTTATGTTGGAAGCTTCCTGTCCGCGCACAATCCTTTGTATTTGCGTCATAAATTGTGAATGAATAAATTAATGCCATGTTTCTATTTGTCAGTGAGTTTAAAATGGTAGGAATGCTATTGAACGTTGTGCACGGTAAGGTCCGAAAAAGCGAACAAATACATATAACAAAGGAGTCTAACGGGTTTCATAACAATTCCACTTTAATCACTGTGCTTCCGCTAACACACTAACAGATAAATCAGGTTTCTTTTAGAGTCGTATACAGTGAAATGATCTCCGCTCCATGATTGTTGAATTCCTGATCAAATGTAACATTTTATATAGATTTAACCAAGGCTAAAAACGAAGCTCTCGTGGGGAATTTTTTACATAAATTTCTTTCTGTAGTGATTCAACTTTCGCCATAGCCCATAAGCAAGAAGAAACTGAATTCCTTCCGAAAAAATGGCCCTGAGATTGTGATCAATTAAAAACCAATAACAGGTCAGCGGAAAACCTTAAAAAACGTTAACTCAATTAGTTGTACACCTAAGCCTGTAACACTGGACAGCGGTTATCCTATTTTGACAGCTGTCAATTGACCATAAAAAGAATGTCCTATATCAAGTTAATCACATTGCATTTGACTTGCAGTCCAAATTAAAAAGTGACATTTCACATTCGCTGACGTGAAGGACGTGTAGAATAATTAGATAACCAAATGTTATTACCCATGGTGCTCCGTTAAAATATCGTAACATACCAAACCATACCATACCATATTTACATACCATACAGGCTTCTACTCAATTTTGTGGGGAGCCGAAAGATCTCTTCTTAGTACAAAAATACTGTGCTTGGCCATAATCTGACATGTTTCATTTTAGACCTTACAATAATTGCTGTGGGGGTTGGTACGTACAATCTTAAAGAGTTGAAGTTCATTGCGACCGACGGAAAAAGACACGTCTTTACTGCCAAGAACTTTGATAAGCTCCTCAAATTGGTTAAGGCACTAAGGAAGAAAGCCTGCAGTGGTAAGTGTGCCATTTTATACAGACTGCTCTCGCTTTGCGGACACCTCGATAAAACGGACAGCAGCTAATTCCCCGCGAAAACAAATTACAGACGTTTGACTGAAATGAACTCCCGCTATTACGGACTTTCGCTAATAAGGACACTGACTGGAGATCCCTACAGTGTCCACAATAAAGGGAGTTGACTGTAGTAACAAGTTTTAAGAGACATTACGATCTTTCGGAAAAGAACGAATCGGATTGTCGAAGTAATTAGAAAGCCTAATCTCTCAGTTACCGATCGGACGCCGCATGATTTCAAGCTTTGGGAGGAACTGAGGACAAAATATTTATCTAAACATCAATGAAATTCCAGGTGGGTTTTCGCACGAAAAATGATAACTTGACACGTGAAAATAATATGGCATCTTAACACGTCAAAATAACAAGTTATCTTTCTCACGTGAAAAGATCACCGTTGCTGTGATTTGGAATTTCATTGGTATTTACACAATTTTGAGATACGATATTTCTCTTTCTCTTTCTCTCTCTCGCGCGAACGATTTTAAGATAATTTTTCAACACAAACAAATTGACACAGCATGTTTCTAAAGAGTTTCCAAGTTTCAGACGAGGAGATGAGTAAATAAAGTAAACTTGTCGAGTTTTTCAACTCAAAACATTTTTCAAAATCGTGTTTGCGTCATTACCGCGCGCACAGCAAAACATCTTACGTCACAACCATGTTTACATACTCTCATGTGAACACGCCTCGCGGCCAATCAAAGTGCGCGTACTATCTTAGTTATTTTTATAATAGTAGTTTAGCGGACTATACGAAATGTTTGTCACATGGGAAACTATTTTAGGTCGTCAGCTCGTTTATTTTATTTTATGTTTATCGCTTTGGAATGTATATTTACTTTCAGGTCTGTTGTCCTTCGTTGGACGAAGCGGGGAACTTCGAACATTTTGGCCTTCGTAGAATGGGTTTTTTAGGGCTTGAAACAGTCCCTACTCAGATTTCCTGCCCAGTGTTTTTTACCATATTGGGTTTTCTCTGACAGGATTTTTCTCGTTCCTGTTCTGCAAGTTGTTTTTCTGCCATAAACGTCCGCGCAACTCTGTTCTGCCAGATACTTATCCGTAATTTGAGCGTGGTTTTTAACTTATTGTACGGTTCCCGGTGCACGGCCAAAACTGCCAAAAAATGTTCCTTTTTTCATCTTGTACTACTTAGTGGAGTTGAAATTTGGAGTGTCATATAACGTTTTGACCTTTTTATTTTCAGCACCAGTGTACATGGGTCTTAATTTCACCAACACAGGTGACACCACAGAAGTCGTGGCTTTTGTTTCTCCTAACAAGGCTCGATTCTTCACTCTATCGGCAGAGCACTTCTTTGGAGTTGAGAATATATATATCGATGTAAGAGGTCTTCCTTTTTCCTTTTTCCGATCCAATTTTGTATCATACAAGCTAGAAATAATGTTATATTTTTCCAAAGTTCGAAACATTTTGAACCTACTTGATCCAAGTGTGTCCAGTACTGGGATTTCAAGGCTGTTTAACTTTAAATCTGTTATTAGATAATTCCACAATACGGAACAGTGTCTGTGTATGCGTCAAGAATAACTGATGTGCCAGGACCTGATAACTATACTCAAAAAGTTGGACCCGCAGGTAAGCTTACAGGCCAAGAGTAAATGAATTCCTATTTCTTATAACTTAAACACTAGTCTCTGTTTTTTGTTTTTGTTTTATCAGAACGCTTTAAAACTTTCAAATTCATGACTTTTTTAAAGATCGAGCAACTAGCAGAACTGAAAAACGTATGACAAAATCACCTGGTTACGATCAAGGGTTGTAGCCAAAGTCGCACCTATCCTTGAACCTAAAGCGTCATAATCGATCTGAGTTTTACCTCTGTTCAGGTTATTAACAAATATTAATCTATAGAGGTAAACATTTATTAAAATAATGCATAATAGAGTTAAATTGTGTAGTAAACAGACGTTGGGACAAAACTACTGCTACACTGGCTTCTATTCTGTGCGATTCATTGAGTGGAAGCTAACGCTTTGAGAGACATTAGTGAAAATTTGAATTGATTGCATGATGATCTCAAGCTATTGATAGACGAAGTTGATGATTTTTTCATTGAGAGAAATTACTCGGTTTAAATAACTTTCATTAAAGTAGAGGGATTTCACAGGAGATTCAAACTTTAGAACCACACATGGTACTTTGTACCACCGAATATCCTGTTTATGTTGTAGTTAAGACTGTTTTTCTGTTGCCTTTTTAAAGGAGAAGGAGATGACCTACAGATTGAGTTTACAGACCTTTGTGCTGGTAATCATTTAAAGTAGTTCTTTATAAAGTGTTTAAGAGTAGGAAAGTGTTGATCCTCATCCCCGAGACTTGAACTATGATCCTCTGTATGGGTATCTCCGACAAAATCAAAGTAGCAACGGTAGCCATTAATGAAGCGATGATTTTAAAGGTTAAGGAGACGATTGCGATTGCCATTCCAATCAAGTCTGACAACTTTAACTTAACCTGCCAAAAAGTATGTTTCCTTGGTCGTTGTTTGCACTTAGCTCGGTAGTAGCGTTACCACGCAGAACAATTCTTGATATGCGACGATTTCGCATGAAAAACCAACGATTTGATAGAAAACGCGAGACGAAATCGACGTCCGCGATTACCCAAACACTCTATCAATGTCAAACTTGCATTCAGCGCCTACCATTGTAGATAGTAAACTGCAAGGAATCTCTCTAGTCTAATAGTTCTAAACGAGAACAAAGCTCGGTTAACACCAGACGAGATTTTTCCGCATTCGTAAATTTTTCCGGATTTATTCCATTTAGGATGATACTAATTAACGATTATTCGAAGAGGTTTGGCAAAATATCGTAGTTGTCAGTGGCGACCAGATCTGCTCGCCACTGACAAATCACGATATTTTGCGATAACCAACTTTTATCATTGTTTTATCATTCGATCATCAAGTTTGTTTTTGAGCTATTTTGAAAAAATAGCTCATATGTCAGTGTTGAGAGCGTATGTATCTTTGTGGCTTTGTATCTTCGGATGTTTTTTGCAGGAGCCAATAAGGTTGAAGGTACTATGAGTTGATGCTTAGGAACCAATGAGATCTTGGCATCTGTTAAACATGGCATTGCTAAGGTCAAACAAGGGCACTTTGAGACCGCCATCTTGATTCTTCACAATTTTTTCGTCTTTTATTACGGCTACCGGTGTTTAAAAGCATTACATCAAATATCTTCATGATTCAAACGCTGTGTACGCTGATACAGCTGTTTAAGGTCCAGTTCGGACCCCGATCTCTTCATGAGCCGAACCTGATTCGAATTAAAGCCGACCCAAATTATTTAGATCGGCTGAATTGATTCAGAAGCCGATCTTAATTACAGCTGAATTAAGTTCAAAAGGCATAATAATTTATACATTAGGTTCGGTACATGAAAAGTTTGGCGTCTGAATAAAGCCGTTCCAGAGTCGCCCGAAAGGCGAAATTCTCGGCCAGACTAGTCGAAAAGAACGGCTGAGCCGTTCCAAATTGAAACAGGCGTTACCAACTGATTCAGACGCCGAACTTTTTATGTACATAATTCAGTGTATTAGGTTTGGCTCATGAAAAGTTCGGCGCCTTAATATTTTAGTGTAGATGCTGCTTTAAGACATTTCTGACCTAACTCGGCTATCGCAAACGGTACAACGCACGTATTTATGAGAATAATTGATAGCGGAGAAGTGCGAAGCGAAGCGCGCGCGTGGGCGGAGCCCCATAGCTAAGGAAATCTACCCATCTCAGAAGATTTGGTAATCACGTGACCGTACACCGACCGACCGACCGACCGTCCGTCCGTCCGCACCACAGGAAAACCAATGTTTACTTTCACACTTTTTAACTGCTTTGGGAGCCGAGGGTAAACTGATTGCACATCAATGTGGTGATCAATCATGGATATTGTTATATTCCTAGACTTTCACTCAACTAAACAGGGACTGCCATTGGTTGATTCTTGGTCACGTGTCCTTAACTAAAATCAAATGTATCCCGATCGTGATACATTAAGCAATGTTCCCCCGCTCGGGATACATTACAGCAGGTGATCAAATTATGGTGGAAAGTGGCGTCACAGAAGAAGGGAAAAACACTGCCAGTTTTCTTTTTCGTGAATGAACACAACAACACTAACACGAAGCCTCAAGCTAAAAAAGCAACGATTTTAAAAGTTATACCAGAAGAGAAACAGCAGCTAGTGGAGAAAAATCATGCAGATAATATAAGGAAAGTACTTTGTAAATCATTCATTCAGTAGTTTTTAGAATTAAATTGGTGTTTTTATAAGTACCCAGTCGACTGTTTTAGTTCGCTCCGGTTATCTTTTGTCGCTGTTGAAATGAAAGTCTAGAAATACAACAATAAGTGTATAATATCCATGGATCAATCGACAACCGTCAAAACAAGGTATCCGCTGACCAGTATCACCTGACCGTATCGCGGGCTCAAGTGTCGACCCATCGAGGTCGAGTACTTTTTTGAAGTTATCCGCTGACAAGTTTCTAGTTTTCAAATGATCGCAGGCTCAAGTTCACTTTTATTTTTTAATTCATATGAAATATGTTGTGTTTATGTCTCTATCGCCTCGCACTATTAAGAGTTTGACTTCAAATTCAGCTAGTTAATTAGAAATACTGGCGGGGAAGACCTTTTCTTACCAATGTCACGCGTTGGTCACGCTCTACGTCCAATTTTTATGCTCTTATTGGTCAAAATTTAACAGGTCAGTTCATGCGGAAAATGTATGCAGCATCTTGAAACTTGTTTATTTTGACAGCTGAAGCTGAGAGTTTTGTGTCAACTTGTGATGTTTTTAACCGTCTTTCTCCACTGGATGTACAAAATGAAATACAGCTGCTTTCAAGAGTCTTCTGTTATTCATGGCTAGTTTGTTTAGTGTTTTTTTGGTTGAGAGATGCGTCTCTTGTCAGAGTCGAAAATCCGATTTTGGATGGCATCGTTTTCGTTTTTCACCTTGCTTGATGCGTAAGAGGGTTCAAAAGTCTCAAGCGATTCTGACCGTACTTCATAGCTTTCAGGAGCTGCATCTCGAATGGAAAGCCTGAGTAATTATTATATTTGATGTTTGTTTTTTTTATATCTAATTTCATGAAGTCGAGCACAGTTTATGCGGTTTATGCACAGTTTATGCACGTTTGCAAGATTTAGGACAATGATCTAACCTAGTATCAAGTTTGATATAAGCTTACAGAACTTTAAAAAGCCTTTAGATATATTTTCTAGAAAGAAAACGTTCTGAAGAATATTTAGTTATAAATTTGGCTGTAGAAAGAAAACTTTGAGCGATTTTCTTTCATATGAAATATGTTGTCTTTATATCACTATGACCCGCACTATTAAGATTTTGATTTCAAACCGACCTCGGACGCTAAAAATTTAAGCGAGTTTTTTAAAAATACAGGCGGGGAAGACCTTTTCTTACCATGGTCACGCGCTTGTCACGCTCTACGTCCAATTTTTGTGCTCTGATTGGTCAAAATTTGACAGGCGAGTTCATGCAGAAAATTTATGCAGCATCTTGAAACTTGTTTACTTTGACAGCTGAAGCTGAGAGTTTTGCGTCAACTTGTGATGTTTTTAACCGTCTTTTTCCACTGGATGTACAAAATGAAATACAGCTGCTATCAAGAGTCTTCTGTTATTCATGGCTGGTTTGTTTATTGGGTTTTTGGTTGAGAAATGCGTCGCTTGTCCAAATTCGGTAATCCGATTTCGGATGGCATCGTTTTCGTTTTTCACCTTGCTTAATGCGTTAGAGGGTTTAAAAGTCTCAAGCAACTGTGGCCGTCCTTGATAGCTTTCAGGAACTGAATCTCAAATGGTAAGCCTGAGTAATTATTGTATTTGATGTTTGTTTTTTTATATCTAATTTCATGAAGTCGATCACAGTTTATGCGGCAAGTTTATGCACGTTTGTAAGATTTTTGTCAATGACCTGATCTAGTATCAGGTTTGATATAAGCTTACAGAGCTTTAAAAGGCCTTCAGATATATTTTCTCACCTCAAATAGAGAGAAAACGTTCCGAAGAATATTTAGTTATAAATTTGGCTGTAGAAAGAAACCTTTGAGGGATATTCTTTTTCGAGGAGAAGAGTTCGTCTTTGAAAAAAGCAAACACCGGGAGGCCGGCTTAAGGTGGCTGAGCACGGTTTTGGCAGTTTGTGAGTATATGTCATTTGCCAAATCAATGCGTGAGAAAGGTTGCAGTTCACAAGCTGAAATTTGGGAACTAAAGAACATACTGATGAAAGATTTCGATTGACAGGTAAAATTTGACGTTTTTGTAGTTTCCATGGCAACATGAACGATTGGCTACAACCTTAAAATTTCACTTTTGCTCAGTCTACATAAAATTCGCTCATTAGATTTTTCCTATAAATTTGCACACAGCTTACTATGTTTAATCATTACCATTTGAAACTTATTTGACCAAATTTTAACAGACGGGTTTTCAGATAATCAAAAATATAATTGCAGTGTAATTATTAAATGTGTCACAAAATTCATCTGTTCAACTTCCATTTTAAAGTTCTCATAATTTACAATACGATAAAAGTAAAAGTTCTGCCAAATATCACAAAATTTTGATGAGTAGATTTTGAGAAATCGTCTTCTGTGTACCATTGCTTTTTTTCTGTGTACCATTGCTTTTTCTTTAAGTGCCTTGAAAGTGTGTGATTGTGTGGTTGAACTGCGGTTTCGCCAAAATACTCTGTGCCAGCCATCAGTATTGTTTCGTCGGTGTTTAGCTTAGCTAATTGTACCTTGGAAGGAACTCCCGAGTCAGGAAAATTGGATCTACGTCTAGTTTCAGCGGGCTCTAATGGCATTGCACCATAGGCCGGTTTTTGCACTGCGGATAAGAAGGTGATAATTTGTGCACTGTTTCATTCAGTTTGTTGTCTATTCCATGCGGAATCCTGTTGTTTATCGGATCGCGAAAAAAGCACTGTTTTGCTAACTATTTAAGTTGTTATGTAAGCCTTAACCAGGCACTCTTTCGTTGCAGTACAAAAAGAATTTCTAGAAATTTCTAGACTGAAATGACACCGGTTTGAAACTTCGCGAAGTCAGTTTACTGAATAGATGTTCTAAAATTTGGGTGATTTTAAATTTGGACTCGTTGGAATGCTTCTAGGGACCATTAACTTACTGCCCGTTGTCCAATAAAGGCTCTTAATCGGCCTTTGAATGAGTTTTGTTGTTTTAAATTGTCAAGTAGTAGATTGAGTTGATATTTTTGCTAACCCGGTTTTCAAAAATCGAGGTATATTTGTAAAGTAAACCTGTGGAACGCAAAAAAATTCGGCCTGCTTTCTTTTCCAAGAATTTGTTTTCGAGGCCTAATCTACTGTGATCAAGAGCCATTATGGCTCTTGAATGTGATCGAAGATGTTTTTGATTTATTGGGTGTACATATAAGGCTATCAACTCGATGTAAGATGTTTCACTTGAAAATAACTTAGCCTTTCTCTCAAAAGTCACATAAATGTGCCCTTAAGTTAACTGATTTGTGGATTACAAGTTCATTGTTTGATTTAAATTATAAATTTATTAATAGGAGCTTCGCTTTTACCCCTGGCTAAATCTATATATTAGTAACTTGAGCGTATGAAGATATCTTTAGTTTTTCGAAGTTAAGCAAAGACTCTTTTCTTTTAACAAGCAATAACTTATAACACCTTCATTAAAGTAGAATCGCACGTGACAACCTCGTAAATAGTGATGATGCAACCATCTAAAACCTTGAAGAAACCTTGAAACCTTCGATTCTTCTCTCTAAGCAACTTTTGGTGAGTTGATACTCATAGTACTTTAACAATTTGTCTATTTTGCACCAGATGTGAGAAGGAAAGAAAAAGAAAAGTGAATCTATAGTATGAGGATCGAATCAGCTATGTGCAGCGGTTCTCGTTTTCATTAACGTACAGCAATACCCAATTTCGCACAAAACACAGCCTTAATTAGGATTAAAACAGTAGATTGCCGATACTGTTACAGTGAAGCATTCAAAATAGCTCATGCACGTAAAACGTGCCTATGTTTTAATGAATATCTTCTGGAAGCGAAGCGATCTGCCACTTTTCACGCAAGAGCGATCGCAAGAAGGAGAAAAGCCTGGTTGCGTTTGTGCATGAGCAGAATATTATTTCCAGCCATGACCAGACCATTATTTGTAGGCAGTTATTTGCAGGTCAGGTGGTGGGCTTTTCGGCCAATGAAAAGGAAAATTTGTATCGAATGATGAAACGTATTCAATTTCCCAACCTGTAAAAATAAGTCGATAAATCCGAGAACATTCATTCGGGAAGGGTTACCAAGCAGTTTTGTTTTACCGCTAATTCAAATGATCGCAGGCCGAAAAGAGTAACTGTATTCGTTGGTAATTTTTTTAAACTTCAGAACATATGCAGATTGAACTTTAATCAGATACAAAGTATTCCCGATTCAAAACCTCCGATACGCGACTAGACCGGTACGATTTCCTCTGTGTGCTATCCGCGTTTTGCCCTGACAATTCAAGTATGTGCGTGTAAACTGAGAAACGAATCCGGTACCAAAATGAGCTGGATTCGTTATACCAAATCGGGAAAATCAACTCTGGCGTAAACCTAAGATTCAAGCGGATTTCTAGATGTATCCAACGCGTATATTTGATTTCGGGTTAAGGTAAACGCTTTTCAAACTGGGAAAAGTAGTGTCCAGGTCAGCGCAGTCCCATAGTTGACTGTGTCCCTTTAATACAAAGAGATGTACCAAAACCTTTCAGGCTCATTCACTTCATGATAGCCTAGTGTTTCATTCGATCCTCGATCTTTAACAAAAACCTCTTTTTGAGCAAACTTTAACTCATCCTTTAACATTATTTTATCATATTTGGTTAAAAACAGTATCCAAAGGAATATGAAAAGAAGAAATGAGAAACGTGTAGGCGCCGGGTGGGAGAAATCGCCTTCGTTTACCAAGATAACAAAAGAAATGAATCAATAACATTGGCAAGCAAATAATCGTTATATGTATCTTTCGAAAATCGATGGAAAAGGTTATATATGTTTGGAAAATCAAGCTTTCACGACCGTGAACCTTCGACAATGATTCATGCAGACTCCGTGTCATTTCTTATCTCCGCTGATGATCGAATTCAGAAGTATTCGTAGATGTTTGGCTCTCCCTGGAAAAATCCATCGGTAAATTCTCAATATAAATGGCATATAAAGAATGAGTGCTCTGATATGGCATAGGATCTATAATCACGATTTCGGCTTGTAACAAGTTCAACTCTAAAAGGTTTGTTTGGAGTATTCTGGATGCGCTTCTCACTTTCTGTCTCACGCGCGTCTTGTGATATGCAAATCAGCTGAGAAATGGTATCTAATGCGCATGTGCATCAGCTGACTGTGTCCCTTTTAGAAATGACACACTAAACAAAACTGTATTTATATCCTGTAGGGTATAATTCATCTGAAACTTGTCCTCCAATCAACATCGGAATCTACGGAGAAGCCTCGTCTCTGACATGCGCAGGTGATTCTAATTAAAAACGTTCTTCACTTTGAATTTTTTTCGTTACTTCTTCATGTTTTACCTACGTAAAGTAGTATAAATGTGGTCTTATAAACAAAATTAAAGCGCGGAATGTAATTAACCATATTTTGGCTGAAACTTGGCTTTAGTCGGGACACTTTCTCGAGTTTCAAAATCTGACTTTTCCCGACAATGTTTTGTCCAAGAATTCCGCGCCGATACAAAACTTCACGAGCTGGTACTGCGAAGGGGTAAACTTGGTACACTGTAATGTCTTATGTATTGAGTGGAATTCTAAAAGAGCGCTTTTATAAAATGATATAAGGCGTTAATTTCAGGGATGACAGATTTTGCTCATTTAAACGATTATATCTTGCTGGCAAACTTTAAATTGAAAAATCTGCTCAATACATAATACACTGCAGGTTTTGACCGATCATTTATTAATAAAAGTAGAAATGCGTGTATCGCAGAACCGCGCAAAGCTCGGGGGGGGGGAGGCCCATAATGTCAGGGATGGAAGGGGAGAGAATTGAGGTGAATTGTGTAGCTCGGGAGGGAGGGTTTCAGCACTGGCTCTGTAAATATTGGAAGGTGAGATTTAGTTAATCTCTTTTGGTTGGAGTAAATTTGAACCCAGTGCTCTTTTATTAAAAAAAATTTTCTGAGATTTAAATGGGGTTGGTGTTGTTAAGGAAGGGTAGCCAAAGTTTCATAGGTCCCGTGTTCACTCCATCTGACCCTCCTACACATGTAATTGTAGTAAAAAAAAATGGGTGTGATAGTCAATAACTGCAGGCGAAGATGAAGCTAACCCATGCTATCTTTAATGTGTAGTATTATTCATTCAAAATATTTCCCGATTCTGACTGGCTAAAAGCACACGTTTAATTCACCATAACCAGTTACTGAAGACCAAATTTGGAAGAAATTTGACTTTAACGAGGAAATGACGTCAAAAATGCGGCGTTCTCGCGGGTTAAGGCACCGTTAACCGAGAAGTCCTGGGGATGAGGTTGAGTTGTTTTGGTTGTGAACTTGAAAAAATGGCGGACATTTCACTCGTCTCAAGAGTAAGAACTAGGCGAAAAAATAGCTAAAAACATGGCAAGAATAGCAAGAAGACAACTCGAAGGGCGACATCTGCTATTTGGAGAATATTTGCGGAGCTGGACAAACCTAAACGTACACTATCGAAGGTGAACTAAACATCGATGGATCGATGGAGGTAAGCATATTTTAGCTATGTTTTTAAACTAGGAATTATTTTGAATGAATAATAAAACAGTTATTGAATTCGACTTTCGTATCATATGAAGAATTATGGAGATCTCGGAGGGTGTTATCCGCCTCGGCCTACGGCCTCGACGGATAACACCCTCCTCGATCTCCATAATTCTTCATGAGATACTCAGCCTCATTCATTAACTGTTAAATAATAATTACTTGTGAAGTGTGTCATTAGTACTAAGTGATGAAATGATAGGAGATAATACTGAAGTGAAAATAACAAGTGCATGCTGGTAATTGGAGAAAAAAATATTAATTTGTTAAGTAAACTACAGCAAGAGAGTGTTTGCATCACAGCAATCCTCTCCACCAATTTATTACAGGAATTTATCGTTAATGTTAAGTGCAGAATGGTTGGTCTTATAGGAAAACCCTATCTCTGCTTGTCGCTGAATTTCTTGAAACAATATTCGGCCAATGGAACATGATTAACTTCGGGGAATATGCAGGAATATGTCACCTCCCTCTGACTTCTTTGAAACAGTTAAATTTTCCCTGACTTGCTAAATTGTCCGTTACAGGGGAAAGAATTAATTTTCCTGGCATGGTAACACATGTCACACACTAATATTGCGAGGAGATCTGAAATACAGATGTTCTTTTCGAATATTAAAAATACGATCAAAAATAGGAGGCCAACAATAACAAATTTTTGTTATGCTTGACGTAAAAGACACAGCTGTGTTTATGTATAAGGCTGCTTGCTATACATAGATAATATATTTTACTTGGGATGGTTTTGGGGAAGTAAATGTAATGAAAATTTGTTCAGGAAGGATATTGTTTACAAATGTAACGCTTCCGCACGTGTCACACATAACTGTTCTTTATATAATAAAGCTTTCTGCCAAATCCATCGTTGCTCATGATGTAAAGGCTGATCGGATGTCTTCAGTCCGTTACAAAGATATTCTTGACGTGCATTGTAGAGATCGTCCAACTCTTGCTGCTTATTGCTGCATCGAAGAAAATAATTTTGACTTTTAACTTCAATCATTGCCTAATCTTCACGTCGCTTTTTGAACGTCGGCAGTCGGTGTTCCCTCACTTAATCGGTTTCGTTTACAATGTCGTTGTAGTATTTTGTCGCTGCCTCTGTACATGTTTGTGGTCGCTGTGTTGACGACGTTGCCTTCGCTGTGCTAAGTGATGTTCTCTGTACTTCGCGGTTGTCTTCTTGGATCCGCTTGCCGATGAATGTAAGTCGACGTTCGCCAGAGGAGTTTGGGTGGAAAATTTTAGCCGGCGATGAATTACAGCCACTTGTTGTGCTTCCTCATGTGTCATTTGTATGGGAAATTGCTCGTGATTCACCGATCGTAAATATTATCCACAGACGATGAATAAAAATATCAGCCTTTCATGAATAAAACAAAAAACGTGTGCCGTGGTCATCGGCGGCAAAGTCTATGTTGCCTGGAAACGCAAAATGCTCCATGACGTAACGCTACATGACGTCGATGGCGGACACCTTGCAGACACGAAGCATTAACCTCGTTCCCAATGTTCTCTTCTACCCGCCCTACGGAGCGAGAGAGAGAGAGGAACATGCTCATCATTTCATCCTCTGTAATAGAGTAATAAAGTGATGACGTCATAAAAATTAAGTTATGGGATTTGTCAGGATATTCTGAAAGAACAATGTCCAAGAAAACCAAGAACGAGAAGTCCAAAGACTACTGCAAAGCTGATTTAAAACAAGATATTGTTTTTTATAACAATATTTCGGCTGACTGACCATACCAGCCTTCTTCAGGTTTACAAAAACCTGAAGAAAGCTGGTATGGCCAGCCGAAATATTGTTTTAAAAAACAATACACGTTGTTTTAAATCAGCTTTGCAGTAGTCTTTGGACTTCTCGTTCTTGGTTCTTTATATTTTGGCTGATTTGATCTCTTTTCTAGAGATCCAACGTTTACAACTAGCAGGATCTTCGTCCACGGTTTTTGCAGTTAATTTAATGTCCTCGAGGCCTACTTGCCAAAAATGGGATCGACCCAAAAAAATTTAGCAGGGTTTGTATGGAGTTTCTAAGCATAACTGGGTTACTATCTCACAGACAATTTGCCCAGAAATGCTCATTTTTTGCAAGTAGGCCTCTTGCACATTGTTCTTTCAGAATATCCTGACAAATCCCACGATTTCAGAAATTTCATTTTTATGACGTCACACTTTAGTACTATATACAGGTGCCTTCAAGCTGAAAATAACGGTTTGGAAATATTATTTTACAATTTTAAAAAAAGAAAGTATTTCCCATGACTTCTCAGCACACATGATTTAAATAATTAGGTAGGTTATTTGAATGATCAAATATTATGTACGTATCAAAATATTACAGGTATTTCCTGTCAGGCAATGAATGAGAAAGGCAATTCTTTTTTCGACATTCATGTGACTTTGTTTTATCAATAATTCATCCTACTTGATTGTTGGCGTGGAGCTGTTGACATGTTAGCTTGTAGATTTTCAATTTTGCATGTTACTTTTTAAAAATTAGGAATTTGAGTTGATTCATAATAAAAAAAAAATGGCTCGTGTAAAATTATTCGTCAGTCAACTAGGGTAATTATTTCAGCGAAAGGTTTCAAAGAGGATTTCTAACAAATTGCAAAAAGATCTCGCGGTGGGGCTGACTTGGTAGCTGCAGATGTAAACAACTGAAGTGTTTTCTTGAAGCCTCAAGAGGCGGGCAAAACATAGTATGATCACACCTGACGTTCAGATGTGCTTCCTTTTCGATCTGAGGTTTCTAATGAATTACATCGGTCATACTGCGAAGAAAAAAAAAATAAACAAATGGGAGTATGAATTATCGACCAAAATGGAAAAAAATCAGGCAGCGTGATAATCAAATTTCCGCTTATATTACATTATCGAAAAATTTCGCAAAAGGGAGTCCGCATGAGAAATGTACGCGAAAAGTTCAGATGCAAAGGACTGAAGAACTGCTTGCTAACAAAGAAATATTAAAGAAATATAAATAAAGAAAATAGGCCCACACACCTTATCACCCCGCGGCCCGAAATTAAGTCCACGTCGACTGCTTCGGACAGGCTTATTTACTTTTGAGCTTTTCAGTGTTCGCGGAGCAGATCGAGAGACTTCGATGCATCTCTTGACTCTTTCAAAGGACTGTCGAGTCTCCGTTATGATATTCTTGAAATCGCCTTTCACACGGTCTACATACTAAACGTGGCAACAGTTCGTTCTGTGACAAGGAACCGCCATAAGGTTCTTCCACGGATGCGAGCAGCGCTCGATTATTCTTCGCAAACAAATTCTTTGAGTGTGAGATATCACCTACAGATTTACAAAGCCTACAGCAACTCAAATTTGCGTGACTAAAAGGTGTATAAACCTTTTTAGGCGTCTGAGTTCTCGATATTTTGACCTCGTGCAGCCAAATTCAATGGAATGAGTTTTGTTACTGTGACACAACCCAGAGATGTTTTTTTAAGCATGTAGTCTTCTTGCCGGGGTAAGCTAAGTATCGTCAAACTTCTGACCTGATGGCCCCTCCCTCCATTTTTTTTTTTTTGTAATCTCCCAGGGTCTCTCGCTCTCGCTCGCTCTCCGTAGAACGGGTAGGAGAGAACCCTGGGAACGAAGTTGACCAAGCATTTGTTCATAGAAAGATAAAAATATGGGGCATCCAATTTTGCACCTGGCTAAGAACACGCGCGGTTCCGCGCTACCGCGCGCGACGAGATTATAAACTCTCTTCGCGAGGAATCAGAGTGCTGTCTTCCGTTCTTCTCGCAAACTTGGACACAAAATCACGATTTCCCAACTTGTTACGACTGTGGCTTGAAGTATCGATGTAAAGCGCGACAACCCTCCTAAACGTCCATCATTTGACAATGTCGCCGTAAAATTTTATCTTAATCGTCTCTACAACAGCCGAGATATAAGCGTTTTAAAAGATGTAGCACAAGCAAAATTTTTCCCATATGAATTTATTCATAGATAGGTGTCCCCCGCGACCTTAAGGAGGTTTACTGAAAGCGGGGTTTGACTGAAAATTAAATAAATTTAGGCCTCTTAAGCTCACTGGATAAATTTAACCTGTTTTATATTGCTACGCAGAACGAGACTGTAACCTTCCCAATCAAATCAAGTTCAGGATTCGCCGAGGTGAGTTATGTCAGTAGCACTCTTGATATATCCGGAAAAAAGAGCTTTTTCAGCATTTCCATAAAGCCATCGCATGTGCTTATTGGGCTCGTGTCTGCTCCACAGGGGCCTCTTTGTGTCTTAAAGAGGCATTTCATCGTATTTGAAGAAAAATGGCTGACAGCCGACAAACCTAGTCTGCAAAGCGAGATACAATACAAACGTTTTATACCCCGATTTTGGCTCTTATTCAGAAACTAATACTTCAATTTCCTTCCATTTTCTCTTTCAAGAATTATTTTCATCGCCAAAGATGTTTTTTTGGCGGCTAAAACGGCCGCATAAACAATCGGGCTAAGTTTGTCTTGTAGCGGGTTTGTTGCTAACAACTGATGAGATTCATCAACCCGATAGATAGAAATAAATATATATGAAAAACGCGAAATAGACACACGCGCAATGTGAACTTTTAAAAAACCTCGCGTACACGAAGAATTTTGCGTACATATGGACGTGACTGACATGAAATTTGAAATAAACAGTCCTTCAGAGTAATGATGTGCTAAAACGTCAAATTTATAAGTATTTTTTGTAGCAGGTTTACTTGCTTTCTAAGAGAACGCGATGTTTTTGGGTAAATTCGTCAACTAATATGTCAAATTGTAATTAATTTACAGGAACACCGCGACCTGAAAGCAGTAGTCTGGTGACCAGAGGACCATTTATCCTTTGCCTTTTCTTGTCATTCGTAGTGATGACGTTTGTGCCATAGACTGTCGAAGGAGTTCGTCGTTGCTAGGAAAAGGTCACTTCCGAGTTCTGCAAAGCCTCTTTTTCAAAGCGAGGCTAAGTGCAAAGCCATTGATGCGAAATTGATTTTTAATTCTCATGCAAATGAAACTCGTTTTCACAATGACGTTTTTGCCCTTAGCCTCGTTTTGAAAGTGAGTTTTTGGAACTCAGAAATGGCTTATTAAAACAGGGAAATACGCTCAACAATAACTTAGTTTTGCACCTTGAGGAAAGACTGTCAGTAGGTTTAGAGAAAAAAAAGTGCGAGAGAAAAAAGGTCGCTTTGACATATTTGACTATCTTTTTTTAATGGGACGAGGCCAAGATATACCTTGTAGCTCCATTCTCATGTAGCGTAAATTAGTTAGTATTTTATCCCTCCTCCTCACCCCCCCCCCCCCCCCCCCCCCCCCCCCCCCCCCCCCGCCCAGCCCTTTTTTTTTTCTCTCTCTTTTTTTTTTTTTTTTTTTTTATTTTTTTTTTCTTTCTCTCCACGCTCTTCCTCTCTCTTTGCCCCATCCAATATTCTGTTTTACTTAAAAAAAAGGAAAAAGCACAAAAAAAAAAATAGTTTTCACCGTTAAAGAAAAACGGGAGGAAGGATACAAAAAAAAAAAGGGGGGAAAAAAAAAGGTCCTTTTAAAAATTTTATCTTTTTTTTTTTAAGGGAAGGGGGCAAAAAATTCCCTGTTCGCCCACTTTCAATTGTGGGAAAATTATTAAAATTTTTTCCCCCCCCCCCCCCCCCCCCCCCCCCCCCGCCTCCCCCAAAGCAGGCGCACGGATAAACTTATTTTTCATATCCATCTTTGTTTTCATTTTTTGAGAGTTATTTTACGGCCCTTAGGAACCTGGCTTAACCGATTTCTTACGCAACCATATGCTTCTTTATAGTTTGAGCGCAGCCTTGCATGACGATACAAATATCTGCTGCGTATGAGACTCAGTGCTATAACCTGTTGTAATAACTATTGCTGTTTCCATTAAAATGAATGATGTAGTTAGAGTTATAGATGAAGTAAACAAATTACCGTAGTGTTCAGCCTTGTTTGAAATGGTCTTTTTCTTATCTTTGCGATAACCTTTAGTAGTACATCCCTTCAGCAAAAAATAAGTCCCGATAAGGCACAGGCAAATGCTTACTGACGTAGCTGTTTACAATTTTGGCTATTTGCATACGAGTTAACCCAAAGAAATTTCTATAGAAAGTGCAGCCGTATACAGCTATTTCAAGAAAGGTTGTCGGAAAAAGTGCACGCGACAATCTCGAAAGGTATTGTGGGTGATCTTGAGTTCACTGTTTTTCAAAGAAATTTCAAAGAATGGCACGAGAAGTCATGGACGTATGTTTGCGAGTGCTAAAGGAAAGCAACAAACGTAGATTCGTCATCCACAGTGTCACGAAAAGTGCATTGATCATATCCCATATTACCTTTCGGGATTGTCGCGTACACACTTTTTCCGACAACCTTTTTCGAAATAACTGTATAAAACGTGAATGAGCCATACCGGCAATTTTTTTTTCGTTTTTCTAAAAAGGGAATTTCTCCGTAAATAATCGAACCTACTAATATTGCTATGCTCTTTCAATGTAACGGGCAACAGAAAACGTGCAACTTTTTGGCGACTCTGCTGCAAAACGAGTTGAATAGCGATTTTGCGCCTTTTACCACCCACGAAAAAAACCCTTACCACCTTATTTGTTGCAAAACAGGTTTGAACGCAGGTGGCAAAACGCGGAACATCGCTATTCAACTCGTTTTGTAGCAATGTTGCAGAACAAGTTGCACGTTGTCTGTTGCCCGCTTTACTGTAGTTTAGGGGGCCCGCGGTGGGAAGGGGCAAGACCCTCTCACATTTTAGCAAAATACTAGAAATAATAATAACAAAAATAACAATTTCTTAAAGTTCTTCACCAAATACGTTTTTTTTAGATGATACCAAGGCATCCCCTCCTTTAATATTTCCAGGAGGCGTGTGTATTTCCCTTGAGACCGCATTAATTGTATTAAAGAGGAGCTGTGTAATGATGGTAAAGCTTTTATAATCCCTAAAAGAAAAATATGGGAAATCATAAAAACAGGTTTACGTGACTAAACCAGCAAAACATCTGTTTCTTGTCCAAATCGCGCTACGAAAATACCTACATGGCAATAGATCAAAACAAGATCAACCACAGTATAATTTCAGTCATAAACACATCAAACCAACCCAATCAGGTAACCTACTCATCGATACTACTAACATGGCACATCTTTCCGCTTTCCCTAATTTTTCCAAATTCAGATAGAACGCTATTATGCTTCTATTGACCAATGCATCCCACGGGAACGAATTTAAGCGTCTTGTTCATCTGTTAAGTGTGTCGATCGGACGCACTTAACTTCAGACGTTTTATTCGTCTGACGTTTAATGCGTCTGCCTTATTTCCCGTATTTATACTAGACGTCTAAGTCGTCTCAGACGTCTTACACGTCCTGTAGTATAAATACGGCTAATTAAGGCTGAATTTATTCGGGGACCAACGGTGCTGAGATGTTTCATAATATCAGTGTTTAAATATTTACGCGCGAACTTCGTAATTTAGCTTGAGATGACAGAGCTCACAGTAGATAACAGTCCGCTTCAAAAAGTTTTCTTTGAGGGCGTTTAGCAGAGGATAATACACTAAAGAGCTGCCTTCGGACGGTTGGATAAAAGAAGGAAATTTCCTTTCTTGAGTAAAGCTGTAACGTTACGCTATTAGCAAGAGACAAAACACAACTCAAGATTCAAGATGATTATCTGTCTACGTGTCAGATATCATGTTACTCGTGTTATCTGGATTGAGCATTAAGCAATTATCGAAATACCAGTTGCGAATCCGTTGTAAGTCGGTATTAGCCTGCTTAAGATCCGACGACGGCAGACGTCTGTGACGGCGAGCGGAAGTGAAATTACTGCTAGAAAGACTTCCGGCTGCCGTCGTTGCAAAGTTTCCCGCCGTAGCGGCTTTGTCTGTGACGTGAAGAAGGCCATTTTGCCGTCGCGTGTAAAACGTGAGTAAACTTGATCAAAATAATGCCATTTAAACACATTTTGAGCGAAATTCTTTAGTACTGGTGACAGTTTATTCTCAGTAGACCATTCTTGTTGAATTTCTAAGCGACTTAAACGATTTGAACACGGTATTTAAATTAAATTTGTTTGCCCTCTCTAAACAGTTTGACTCGTTAATCGCCATGGACTCGGTCAACTCGACAAAGAAAGCACCCCAGTAAGGTTTACAAGTTTTTTCTTGTGTTTATTGCTGTGTTTATTAACAATTATGATATCGTAGACTTGTTTTGGCATTAAATTGAGGTCCAATGGATTATGTCACTCATCTTTTCGTCAAGCCTCTCGGGGTCAAAATGTTCGTAATTCTGGTAGGGAAAATCCGGATTTTTAGATCTGTTGACATCATACAACAGTAAAAATTCATCTTCTGAAATGT